TGAAAATGACAGGGTTTTTTTTCCTAAGGAAAGAGGTGCTTTCTGCCACTGAATATATAAAGTGCTTTTGTCCTTTCTGTCTATCAGAAACCGTGCAAATCAAATTGCTGTAAAACCAAGGCCAAAAGACATCTATCCTGCATTCTATAACATCTGACTTTAGCCTTTACTTTATCCCCAGGCACTTTTCAAAAGGAAAAAATGAGGTTGAATTTAAATGGAGTATTTAGGACATGCCAAGAAAACCTCCCACTAGACTAACATGATTGCAGGGAAAACAAGAGAAAGGAAAAGTGGCCAGGGAATGTGATAACAGACCCTGGGCACTCGTCAGCAGAGCCGTCCTGAACACAAGGCCATGGTCAGCCATCTGGTCCTGTGAATGACATTTTCTTTCTGGTCATTAAGAACACCAGTGGGTCAGGACACAAACAAGTATTCCCATCAGGGATTATGACACATTTTCTCCCAAAGTAGTATATTAATGACATTTCCAGAGCATTCTTTACTATCTTTTATATGTGATCAGGAAGTCTAATACATACTGCTGCTTCTTTTACCCACAGCATTAGCCAAAACTAAGGTGTCAAATAAAATTTTGCCTAGGATGAATAAACAGAAGCAATTTTTATGATAATTTACTATCAATTCCAAATTAAATAACAAAATGAAAGTGTTTAAATTCATATTCATGATTATTCCCACACAAGCCAGAAAACATCTAAGAAGAGTCTTTCATGAGTTAATCCCACCTTTCAAAGGGTTCAGTGGCTCCAAATTCAATTACTGTTCCTATCAGTTCTACTCTCATTAAGTCTTTTCCCTTTTTTTCTCTTTGCACTACCATTTCCCTTAGCCAGGTCACATAACCTGCTGTGCTTTATGCATTTGTGTCTTAAGTTTGCTTCCTGATAACATCTTTCCAGCAATGCCATCTGGGGAGTTTGGGCAACTTCACCACATTAGGAAGAAACCCTTCTTCACAAGAGAGTGTTCCTTTGCTGCAGGGAAGCAACCAGGATTTGCCTGGGCTGTGGCTGCAGCTGGCTTTTAAGGATCTCCTTAGAATGCAAGCAACTTATCAATGAGAACTTATGCAATGTCTGTCACTGGGTAGAGTCATGCTATGCGGAGTCATAGCCTTTGATACAAATAACACTAAAAACAAGAATGTTATTAAAGGAATCACCCACAGAGGTTAACTAGGTTTTGTCGCCACACCACCTCGAACAGGAAAGAACACTTTTATCATCATTTTCTTAGTTTTAGCTGCTATAACAAAGCACCATAGACCAGGTGGCTTATAAACAACAGAAATTTGTTTTTCAGTTTTGGATACTGAAAGTCCACAATCACGCTGCCATGATAATCAGATACTAGTTAGGGCCCTCTTTGGGTTTCCAGACTGCCAACTTCTAGTTGCATTTTAATGCTGCAGGAAGAGATTGAGATAGCTCTCCGGTCTCTTTTTTTTTTAGACGGAGTTTCGCTCTTGTTACCCAGGCTGGAATGCAATGGCGCGATCTCGGCTCACTGCAACCTCCGCCTCCTGGGTTCAGGCAATTCTCCTGCCTCAGCCTCCCGAGTAGCTGGGATTACAGGCACGCGCCACCGTGCCCAGCTAATTTGTTGTATTTTTAGTAGAGACGGGGTTTCACCATGTTGACCAGGATGGTCTCGATCTCTTGAACTCGTGATCCACCAGCCTCGGCCTCCCAAAGTGCTGGGATTACAGACGTGAGCCACCGCGCCCGGCCCTGGTCTCTTCTTATGAGGACACTAATCCCATTCATGAAGGCTTCACCTACATGAACTAATTACTCTCCAAAGATCCCACCTCCAAACACTATCACGTTAGGAATTAGATTTCAAATACAAATTGTGGGGGGACACAAATGTTTAGTCCATAATAGTAATGATTATTCATTACACATAGGGCTCTAAATGTGCTAGCATCTGACAATTTTTACACTCACCTCTCTTTATTAGCTTGTCAAGCATAATTAGGGCAGTGGCTTTACTGAAAATTATTGAATTTCATTTCCTAAGGACAGATGTTGAGGAGTTTTTTCTTCACTAAAAATTCATGTTCTGCTACAGCTTTCATCTATTATTATTTTGTGAGATGGAAAATCTTTTATTTTTATGTTTGGATTGACTCTTCTTAATAAAGTCAGCATGTAGTATGCTTCATGTGCTTCTAATATGTGCTAATTTTGCAAAATATTTTGGATACCAGATTGCATTTCTCTTCCAAAAAAGGTACCAGCCTACAAAGCCTTGCTGTTATTGTTTTCAATTAGTTCATGGAATTAAATGTATTAAATCACCAAATGTTTTATCCTCTGGCAGAAATAATGATTCCCACTGAACATCCATATGAATCTAGATCTGCCTGGGCCTTTGTAAGTGACACAATTTCATTAACCGAGTAAACAAATGATAGAAAGAATTTTGGTTTAGCCTTGTAAAATTCCAAAGGTGTTCAATAAAATGTCTCGGAATGGGTGTTCCAGGACTTTTATGGCACAGGACAAAATGTATTGCCTATTTTAAGAAAATAAGCTAAATAGTGAGGAGATTCTTTTAGCAGAGCCTCAGGATGTGTTAGGTTGAATCACAGGCAAATGATATTTGATCTTTGCACCTGTTAACACATTGAACCTCATCCTAAAAAGGTAGAGCTAGAAGAAAGCCTTCTGGCAGTTTTAAAATAGACTGATTTATGGCAACTTACTCAGAAGCTTCACCATTTTCACTGGCTACATGTGACTTTCACCTCTGTGGGGCTATATCTTCATTTGTAAAATTGGTAGTGAGATATGTGGACAGTTAACTAAATAATCTCTTAGAATAATTCTAATATCTGTGGATCTAAAGCATCCAAGTGTTGAATATGTTTCTTTCTGGCCAAAAAAAACTTGCACCTGTCAATAATGCCCAAACTGATCTTCTGAGAATGCTCTTTCCCAAGATACGCACTCTCCCCTGGGTTATATTATAGTAATGATTGGAAGTCCCTGCCAAGAGGCAACTATTAACCTGTGAGGTCTATATTTTAGGCCACAGCCATCTCTTTATACTTTCTCACAAGTTAGTGCACAGTATATCTATCATTTTCTTCCATTTTCCTTAATTTGTTAATTTTACTAGTTGAATAATCAGCAAAGTAAGAAGATTTCACCTCCTTACCCCCACCTGGTAGTTTGGAGATATTTGGCCTGATGACAACTGACAGTGAGGAGATATTCACCAAGTTTACCTGGGCAGGAGGCCTCCTAGAGGAAAAATGAGAAAATGAAATGGGAAAGGGGAGTGAAGGACTAAGGCGGTGACAATCTGGACTCCTGCAACTGCTTGGCAAGGTTGGCACCCAAGATGAGTTGCAAGGGAGGGAAGGAGATCCTTATCAGTTTAATCAGGTCTCAGATCCAGGGCTTTGGTGTGTGTAGAAAGAGAGAGAAAGAACTTAAAACAGAGGCTGCCATTTGACCCTGTAATCTCATTATTTGGTATATAATAAATCATTTTACTAAAAAGACACATGCATTAGTATGTTCATGGCAGTACCATTCACAATAGCTAAGACATGGAATCAACCTAGGTGCCCATCAGTGGTAGATTGGACAAAGAAAATGTGGTAAATATACAGCATGCAATACAACATGGCCATAAGAAAAAATAAAATTATGACCTTTGCTGCAACATGGATGCAGTTGGGACCCATAATCTTAAGTGAGTTAACACAGGAACAAAAAAACAAATACAGCATGTTCTCACTTATAAGTGGGAGCTAAACACTGAACATGCATGGGCAGAAACATAGAACAATAAACACTGCAGACTAGTAGAGGGAGGAAGGAAAGAGGTTTGTAAAACTACCTATCAGGTACTATGCTCAATCCCCGGGTGACGAGATCCGTACCCCAAACATCAGCATCGTATGATATTCCCATGTAAAAAGACTTCACATATACCCCTTGTATCTAAAGTAAAACTTGAAATAAAAAAAAAAAAAAAAAAAAAAAGGCAATCCGAGCACTTTGGGTGGCTAAGGTAGGTGGATTGTTTGAGCCCGGGAATTTGAGATCAGCCTGAGCAACCTGGAGAAATTCTGTCTCTACAAAAAAATACAAAAATTAGCCAGGCATGGTGGACCACACCTTAGTCCCAGCTACTAGGGAGGCTGAGAGGGGAAGATCACTTGAGCCCAGCAGGTGGAGGTTGCAGTGAGCTGAGATCACGCCACTGCACTACAGCCTAGGTGACAGAGCAACTCTGTCTGAGAGAGGGGTAAGAGGAGAGAGGGAGAGAGAGGAAAAATAAAGAAAAGAAAAGAGGGACAGATAAAATGCACGTGGAGATTAAGAGAAAGCAGCAACATAGGACCCTGAATAATGTATCTGCTTAATAACTAACCTGATGAGTTATCTGACTATCCCCGAATAAGTACGTGGCAACTCAGGCTAAACCAACAGAGGAGTCCTCTGGAATCTTACTTATATACAATAGATATGCATGCATATTTACTAGAATGAGCCTCTCTGTCTCTGGTAGTCATGTCTGTTTCCACTAATTCCATCTGTTTCCTCTCTCTCCCTCCTATCCTGCTGCATCTTAATTCCTTTGACCTCCCCTTGTTTTTCTAACTCCCTTTCTTTCCCTTGTTATTTAATGTGCTATACTATGCAATTCATGCCCTCTGCAATAAGGAATATGCACTTCAGGGTTCTGTTGACATCTTGCATTCATTTATATTTAGTGAAAGGAGGCAAAGGAGTGTACCCGGCAATATTCACTCTACAGGACGCTATAATTATTATTGAAATTAAAGAAAGCAGTCAAGGGAAATGCAGAAAGAAAATGAAATATACTAATCTTCAGCTTTTCATTTCAGCCTACAAGGAAAAAATGAAGGAGCTGTCCATGCTGTCACTGATCTGCTCTTGCTTTTACCCAGAACCTCGCAACATCAACATCTATACTTATGATGGTGAGTTACCTACAATAGACCTGCCCCTGCTGGCTAGATCATTTGGAAAGCTTAATGTATGTTTGCTTCTCACGGCTCCCAATGTAATTAAATCAATATTTTGTAGATCTCACTATTGACTTGCTGTGTCTACCTATTATGTCCAGTTGATTATCTATTGCTCAAAACGGTTTGAATTTGGTGCTAATAACAACACATCGCTGTCTAAAGAAATGTGGATGGACTCTTATTAACAGCCACATCCAGCATATCAACATCCATACAATATGCCTAAGGCCTTTCTTTACAAATAATATAATAGGCTAAGCCATAATTAGAGCAGATCAAAATTTGTAAGAAAATGCTTTAAACTTAGAAAACTCAAGGGAAAGTATCAACAACCATCACTGTTTTTGCTTTATTGCAGTCTTTATAAAGTTTCTGTATTTTGTATATACATGTCAATAAGCTAATGATAATAATAATAATAATTTACTCAACAAATAAAACTGACTTATGACTGTGGCCCTAGATAAAGAGGATCTGAAAATAAAAGCCTAAAGAATTAGCATGACAATTAATATTATCGAAGTGCAACTTTTTAGGTTTGATTTATCCTGATTCATTTTGCTTACTTTGGCTATGCCACAATTCACATGACCTTGGGCAAATGGATACTTAGATTCTCTGAGTCTCGTTTAACTCTAGCATCTTCCTCCCAGGGTTGTTGTGAGGTTTAAATGGTTTAATAAATAAGTCAAATACTCAAAACCAAGCCTAGCTCATTATATCACTCTACAATGATAGCTATCATTATCAACGTCATCCCTACCTAATCCAGTCAATTTAACTAAAATAGTTCACATAGTTATATGTATCCTGGATATCCCTAAGGCATATTTTGCTAACTCTCAGACTCACTATTATTTTTCCTTTCACATATGTAAAGAAAGACATTAAAGACAAGACAAACAGACTTTGTGGCAGTTAACCTGTTCTGTGCCTTTAAAACCTATACAAGGACTCAAAGGCATTTCCTTCTAATGTTATTCCATCATGGCACAAGCATCATAAATGCTATTAACTGTTTCATAAGGAAATGTCCTCCATGTGAAAGGATTTGTGTTTCCAAACACAATACTCATTAGAATGCAGGGCCAATGCCTACTTTGTACAAATTCATTTGGTCAACAAATAAATTAGATCTTTATTATTTGCTAGATATAGCTGTGACGAAGGATCCAGCTGTTTCTTATGAGAATCTAATGTCGAACTACGAGCTGTCCCTAAGGATCCAGATTTCAATACGGCAGAGTCCTCACCTACAAAGAATTCAGGGCTTAGTAAAATAGTCTTATGTGAATGACCAGTAGGAAACAGAGTGGTTAGGACAAAGGAGGCAGGGATGGTTTTTGCTGGGTTTGGGATTGAAAAAAGGGGAAGAAAAAAATGTGAAGTTATATGTGATCTGAATCTCGAAATACGCTATTTTGATTTGCCTGTGCTCTCTTATAGTCCTTTTCTATAGGCTTCTATCATTTTTATTAAGTTGTATTTAAAGTTGAAGTTGAATAGACAATTCAACACTGCTTGTCAACTATGCTTCCTCAAAGAGTCCGTAGAGAATCTCAGGTTTCTGAAGTCTTTAACTTGACCTGATATTTCTATGTTAGATCATAATGTGACTTGTTTATTGTAGGCAAACATTATAACAAGAAATTATTATTATTATTATTAATTATTTGTAAGCACTAAGTACTACGGTTTGTGCTTTGCATTCAGCATCCTTTCTTTTAATCTTTACAACCACCTTAGGAGGAAGGTACTCTTTTTACTTCCATCTTTTAAATGAGGAAATAAAAGCATAAAGAAGTTAATTAACTTACCCAGTGTCACACAGCTATTAAGAGATGCTCACTATTTGGATGTAAGTATAGGTCATTCTAATTCCAGAGCCTCTAACCTAAGCCATTTAAAACCCCATCACCTTATCAAATACACTGTTTTTATTTGCCCGTGTTCTCTTATAATCCTTTGCCAAAGGCTAACAAAGTATTTATAGAATTGTATTTAAAATTTAAGTATAATCTTGGATGCCATCAGGAAAATGAAAAGCATTTTTACATTTATGAAGGAAAAACCGCACATTATTTCCAATGTACTTATTGAGTTAGTTTTATCTAGACTATCTATTAGCAGCTAAGGATATGAGGTCAATCCCTACAGCCTGGGATTTTACTTGACTGCAGACTCTAACCGGACTGCTAAAAGAACATTAATGGGAGCATAACCTGCACATCAAGAGCCTGGAGACCTGGCTGGCTTGGTTGCCACAATTTTAAAAAGACAGTAATAAATTAGGGAGCACTTAGAGGTTAAGAAATAATGTGGTGGTAAAGATCTAGAAACAGTGTTATTCTAGGGCACTTGAAGATGTTTAGCCCAGGGGAAAAACTTGAAATGGAACCAAACTGTTGTCAAATACTTGAAAGATGGTGGTACACCACAGAGAATGGCCTAATTGTGGGTAGCTCCAGATTTCAAACAAGGATCAGTGGGCTAAAACCAGAGAGATGGAGTTCGGGGCTCAGAGAATGCTCATCTGAAATCAAGGGCTGACCAACGAGGTTCTTTTAAAAATCATTATATTTTACTAAATTGTGAGTTCTATCATAATAAATGTCCTAGCAGGTGCTAGCTATCATCTTTTCCATTATAAATTATACTATTTCATAGTATAATTTATATTCTGCAGGCCTAAAACATAAGGGCCTGATAATCTGCTTATCTTTAATACATAAGCCACTGAGAGAAAAAAAATGGCTAACCATTCTTCGGTTCTTTTGTTTAACAAATAAAAATTATATATATATTTGTGGTGTATGGCATGTTTAGAAAATGTATGCATTAGGGAATGCCTAAGTCAAGCAAATTCACATATGCATTACCTCACACACCTATCATTTATCTGTGATGAGAACAAAAAATCTACTCTTTCAGTGATTTTCAAGAACACAGTACATTGTTATTAACAATAGTCAGCATGTTGTACAATAAGTCTCTCGCACTTATTCTTCCTGTTTAACTGAAATTTTGTATTCTTTGACCAACATCTCCCCAGTCTCCACCACTAGCCCTTGGTAACCACCATTCTACTCTGCTTCTGTGAGTTCAACTTTATGAATAGTCCACATGTAAGTGACATCATGTGGTATTTGTCTTTCTGTGCCTAGTTTATTTCACTTAGCATAGTGTCCTCCAGGTTCACCCATGTTGTGAAAAATGACAGGATTTCCCCTAAGATTTTTTAAGGCTGAATAGTATTATATGTGTATTTTTTTTTTTTTTTGAGATGGAGTCTCACTCTGTCTCCCAGGCTGGAGTGGAGGGGCGCTATCTTGGCTCACTGCAAACTCCACCTCACAGGTTCAAGTGATTCTCCTGCCTCAGCCTCCCAAGTAGCTCGGACTACAGGCACATGCCACCATGCCCAGCTAAGTTTTTGTATTTTTAGTAGAGACAGGCTTTCACTTTGTTAGTGAGGATGCTCTTGATTTCCTGACCACGTGACCTGCCCATCTTGACCTCCCAAAATGCTAAGATTACAGGCGTGAGCCACTACACCCAACTGCATGTGTGTAAATTAGATTAATAGATATTGCTCCTCCCTCCTCCACCACAGTGGCTCTTTCCCAGCACCAGCCGAGGTACACTAGAGGAGGATATTCTAAGCAGCAGCAACATGGGAGCAAAGACATTACAATGGGTGTTGTCTTATTGCCCCCATTAGACTATAAGCATCTTGAAGACAAGGACCCCCATCACAGAGTGATGCTGTCATCCCTGGAGTGGACACTGTGCATGATTGATGACTGGAAGCAATGAACATAAAGAAGGGCAAAACGGAAATCAGCAGGATGCTTTGCATATCAACATTGACTTTGCCAAATATGTCCAACTGTTCAGGAATTATATTGGTTCTACCATAGCTCCTGTGATTCCTAAGCACAGGAATGATGATAATATGTATAGTGGTGTATGCATATATATACATATCTATACAATGATATCTTTTTAGATGTGAGAACTGGAGAATTCTGTTATTTTTCTCATCTAACCAAGAAGTGCCTACAGCTATGATAATTTCCAAAAACAGAAATCTGTGCTTTTGATTTTCATGCAAAGCTCATATTTATTCAAAAGGAAAATAAAGTTTAATTTAAAATCAATTTAGGCTTGTTTTTCTAAGTATGCTTACATTATTCAACTCCCTGTAGATATTGTCAAATTTCCCAATGTTGTAAATATGTATTCTGTTAAAAGATATCCATAGTTATAATAAAGACAGAGAGGTCTTATACATTCAAAACAACATATAGCAAACGCCCATAAACAGCATTTTATTCCTAGCTCCCAGAATTACAACACTACTTCCAATTGCTGGAATCCTAATTATTAAAATGAACCCATGCTGCAAGCTTTGCATGTTTAACATTCTCAAATGTTCATTTTTCAGATATGGAAGTGAAGCAAATCAACAAACGTGCCTCTGGCCAGGCTTTTGAGCTGATCTTGAAGCCACCATCTCCTATCTCAGAAGCCCCACGAACTTTAGCTTCTCCAAAGAAGAAAGACCTGTCCCTGGAGGAGATCCAGAAGAAACTGGAGGCTGCAGAGGAAAGAAGAAAGGTAATTCTTTCCATAGGTTTTTCTTCTCTCTCTCCTTCTGCTCCTCCCTCTCATGCACACGAGCACACACACAGAGAACAATGACATCTGAACCTGCACCATCTCAACATGTATAGGTTTTCAGTAGACACAGAGCCAGGCTAGTTGGGGTTAAGCTTGCCTCAATTATGATAAGATAAATGCTAATTTTAGGCTAGCCAAACCGGAGCTCTCAGAAACCCAAAGAGCTTCAATGCACTGGTGCCCCTTCCCCTGTATTGAATACCCTTATTATAAAAGTCTCCCTTCCCTAGTCCATCAGGCAGAAGCACTGTGTTAGAGAAAACACAGCCCTGGTGAACTCCAGTGGCGGGGAGGGGAAGGAGTGCTGATTCCTCCCTCTGAGGATTTGTGTCACCCCCAATGTCAGGTGTTGTTTTCCTTGGAATTATAAATTACCAGATCTTCCTTCCAAGATCTTTCCTGCCCAGATGCTGTTCTCCCCAAGGGTAAGGGCCAAGAGCTTGCCCCTTTCCTCCTTAAAAGGTCCTTCCAACATCAGGACCTTCACTGAGATCTTTGAATATGTTCTTTATCTTTTTCTAAGCCTTGATGGGATTTTTATCTCTTTTTGCCATTAGTCCCTGCTTATATTAAACAGCTTTCCTTTTGCCAAATCTTTGATTTTCTATAATCACATACCTAAGAAGAGCCAAGGGTATTATCTGAGACCATTCAGAAATCCTAGGGACTCTGTACACAGACAGAAGTCATGTGAATGTGTCCGTTCCAACCACGTGGTTATGGTAGTTAATCCCATCAAGGTGCTCTTGATCATCCAAAAATGAAATGCTTTCAGGTAATTCCTCCCTACGTGGTATTTTCCATTACTTTTTAATGATATATTTTTAGAATTAGGTAGTCACTAAGAACATGTTCCCTGCACAATTTTATGATGTCTATAAAAAGTCAGCCAACACTTTAGACACTTCTATGTTGGATAATTAAAAACAGAATGAAGATGATCCTCCTAAAGATTGAATTCTCCAAGAGGGAATGTGGAACAAAAACAAATATGTATGTATAATATATATGCATTTATACATACATATATATACACAAATATGTGTATTATCAAATAATGAGGCTCAAACGTTAGAAATCCTTAGATTAAATTTTCTGAACAAGAAAATACCAATCTTTGTGGTTGAAAAAAATCTTCCTATGATATGTAGCATACTGATCTCAATTTTCACCTGAGTGATGTTCTCCAAATGCCTGATGAGTATTTCATATATATATAAATTTTTATATATATAATTACAATGGTAATTGCCATATAGAGATATCCATATTATAGACATATTATATATCGCTACCTCTATATATTACATATACCAACTGTAGATATAGACATAACAATGGTAATTGGTATATATGTGATGTATATATATGTGATGTATATATATATATACCATAATTATATATTAAGATTGGGGTGTGTGTGTGTATATATATATAATACTAGCTATAATTGTTCTAGATTTAGAAAGCAAGAAACTGAGCTACTAACGCAACTAAGGTAACTACAGGAAGTTGCTTTAAAACATTTTTATCTACTTTTTTGTTATTTATAGCTTTATTCTCATAGTAAAGCTAAAATAAATTATTCAAAGTTATCAAAACTTTGCTGTCAACAGATATAAGCAATATCTAAAACAGTGGAGAGCATATTGTACCCAAAGCAGTTTAAGTTCTGACCCAGGCATTGTCATCTTATAGGTAATAGGTAGAGATATGAGTCATAGGTCGATATATATTGAGATGCTATGACTTGATTAGAATACAGTCAGTGACTGAGGTGAAATTAAAACTCAGAAACCAAAATTCAACATCCTGATTTAGGATGTTGCTGGTGTTTCTAGGTAATACACTTAATTTGAAGGAAATTATTTAGGATAAAAAAAAGAACTGAGGTGATCAAAATTAACTAGATGTTCCTATAAAACTCCCTGAGGTTACTAATTAATGAATCTGATAAAGCTCCTTCACCCTGACAGCAAGAAATTGTCAATGATTGCACATTTAAACAATTGAATTGAGCTAGAAACTGGCCACATGGGTAAAAGACATTTACAAATGTAATCATCCAGTATTACGATGCCCAGAAAAGAATATTCCTTGGAACCCTCTAAAAGCCTTATTTCATCACCTTTCCAGTTATTGTTAAAATTTTTGTCATGCAAAAATCACCAAACAGATTATGTCCTTTATTTATTTATTTTTTTGTTAATGGCAGAATTTTAATTAAAAGAAAATACTACTAATTAAAGAAAGTGCCAACTTTAAAAAATCACTAATTGATTTTATTCTATTGGGTTATACTGACTTAATTAGCGCTAATTTAAAGAACTATTAATTCTTTTTAAAGAGCCTTTAGCAAGTGCATATATCTCAGTAATTATCTTAGTAAGGACATGCCTAGACCCAAAACCCAACTCAACTAGGTAAAACAAAGAGTGAATATGTGACCAAAAAGTCTAGGAGTGGCTACAGCATCAGGAACAGCTGGACCCAAGGACCACAGAATTATCAGAAAATGTTCTTTCAATGCCTGCCATGTCTTCCTCCATTTAATTGGTTTCATTACCCAGAAAGTTTAATTTCAGTAGTCAGTTCCAAATTATTTTTCTCACAACTTAGAGACTTCAGCAGAAACAGAGCTTCTTTTTCCCAATAGTTTAACAAAAGTCTTGAAATTGAGTCTCAGTGGCCTGACCTGTATCATATGCTCAATCCAGAATCAATCATTGTGGCCAAAAGGATGTAGTACTTTGATTTTATTCATACTAAGCATTTGATATCCAGTGTTTATTTTACATTTACAACTCACTTCAATTCATATTAGACATATTTCCAGTGCCTAGTAGCCAAAGGCAGCCAGTAGCACAGACACAGATATTAAACCAAAAAACATCTAATGAAAAATGGGGAAACTTTAGGCCTAAGTTTTTAAAACTGATACCAGATAACTATTCAGATTCAACTTTACTTTTTTATATATATATATATATATATACTTTTTAAAAATCACATTGATATAGGAACTCAGAAAGTTCAAAAGAAATTTCCATTCTATGACTTTAATCTCTACATTAAATCTCACACTTATCAGAACTAAGGCAAGTGTGAGATTTCAGACGTGCTTAAATAACAGGACCTTCTAAACCTCACGCCCTTTTCTTTAGCTGCCTACTCTCAGTTTCTATGTCAATTCCTCACTGTGGGGAGGGGACTCTGAACCCAGGTTTCATTTCTTACTGTCTTTCACGGTAACAAGGTTTTCCTTTGTAGCACCTAGCACAATTAGTAAGTAATTAGTATGTATTCACATTTTAGTATTTATATGAATATTTATTTATTTAGCCCTGTATCTCCCACTAGATTATCAACTCCCTGAAGATAGAACTTGTCTTTTGTTTATAGTACTTGGCAACAGTTTGTACTACAAAATTTTTTTCTTTCTTATTCAACTCCTGCTAGTCATTGTCTGAGTACTACAAATGTTTTTAAGTGAATAGATAAATAATATCTTTCAGGGCCAAATGAGAAAGTGGCAATATATAGTTCGTTTGGATTTTTTATCCCATCTTCCCATCCTAAAACAATTATAGTCACTAAGTTTCCAAATGATATCTGAAACTGCACTAAGGAATTCCTACTCTAGGCAAAATCACTAAATCAACAGATATTTATCAAGCACTTACTATTTGGCAGGCCCTGTTCTAGGCACAGAGGAGACCCTCATCAACCTTGCATTCCAGTGGGGAAGAAATAGCTAATAAATATATATGCAGTATATTAGATGATACAAAATATAGCAGGACAAAGAGAACCAGGGGAGTGGGGGTGAGAGAAGCTATACTATAATAATGTCATATATTATTATACTATATAATAATATAACTGTTGGATAATCAGAAAAAAACCTGTTGAATAAGAGAACATTTGAAAAGAAGCACAAAGGTAGCAAGGGAGTGAGGCAGGCAGCTCTTCTCTGGGTTCTAAACATTCAAAGTAATGAGAGTAGCAGGGCCCTTGTACCTGCTACTCTCATTACTTTGAATGTTCGAGAAATAACATGGAGGCCAGCATGGCTGAAGCTGAGAGAGCAGGGGGAGAGTAGTAGCAACTGAAGTCAGAGGTAACAATGAAGGACTTTGACTTCACCTGAAATGAGAGATCATTGGGGATAATAAAGCTATTTCACTACTTATGTGAATTGTAGCATCTTTTTAAAGAAGTATCCATTTTTTTTAAAGGGGGAGATGACTAGAAAAATAGTGTTAGATACATAGAGAAAACATGAAAACGAGACTAAGACAGTGATTCCAGAACTAAGAATTCACAGAGGTGAGAATGCAGAATGTGTGTGTTTTAGGGCAGTGGGCAGACCAATGGTTTGGACTAGTGGATTTGGATAGGGAGTTGGAGAGTAGCGAGGTGAGAAAACTCCATTATATAAGCAGTAAAGAGTCACTACAGACTCCAAAAATATATGCGTGTTCCGCCTGGCCCAGGGGTCAGCAACATTTTCATTGCCCTGGACCCATTTCCTTTCCTATAATTTGCAGGTTTCTTAAGATTCTACCTAGCAAGCATATTACTTTTAAATAAGTATTAATAAATTATCTTATGATGATTATAATCAAAGTAATCTGTAATTGCCTATTATTTCTAATTATTATAAGATAAGCATTTTTGCACCAAATTGACAATTCTAACTCAAAGTAAATATAAAGATAGACATGGATATAGATGTGAAATATGATTTCTGTTAGGGCTTTTTAAACATAAAAAGCTTATGAGTTCTCCTCCCTCCCCCTACCCTTAATACCTTGAAAGCCTGTTTCTGGGACTTCAGGGACACCTTCAAGGAACTAATGACCTATGCTGTGTTTGGGGGACTTCCTGGATTTACAGCTGGAAGGCTGCCACAGAGGCATCTCCATTTAGGCTCAAATTCACTTTATGTTCAATGTTTTGGCCATTTCCCCACTTCCCCACTCCATCTGTTGACACTATTGCAGCACTGACCATCTGGTTACTAGGTTGGAGGATACTCCCTCAGGCTTCTTTGAACCAGAATTAATGCTCCAGTGATTGGCTAGTAGAAGCAGCTTGTCATAAAAAGAATTAGCCCTTTCCCCGCTTTTTCTCCATTCTTTGATTGTTGCTGGTTGTCGGTGATCACCTCTATGAGTCTGTATCAATCTCATGCGGTCAGCTTGAAGCTCATCCCTTGAAATCAAAGTTTCCATAATGCAACTGACCTGCAAGGGTGAAGTGACATGAATAACCATCCATTTATCATTTATTCATTCATTCATTCAACAAATACCTATTTAGCAAGAGGCAGCAGAGCTAGCCTAACTATCAGTTGGCCTAGGACAACTCCAGCTAACTCCCGTCGCTTTGATACCATTATTAATTATTTCTCTTTTACTCTAATAAGTGTTCCAGTTTGGACAATCAATTATATGGTCATCCTTAGCAGGGCACAGTGTTTAAAAGCATCTTTAAAACATTGTGTTTAAGAATTTATGGTTAAGAGAATGTCTGTGTTCAAATTCTGGTTCCACTGCTTAAAAGCTACGTGACCTCAAGCAGCTCACCTTATCTCTATATGTCTTCTTCTGATGATCTGTAAAATGAGACTGGTAATAGAACTTATGTCATGAAGTTATTGTGAGAATTGGAAGGTTACTCTACATAAAGACATGTAACAGGCATGGTAAAAGGGTTGGCAATTACTATGTGAAGATGCATCCAGTTTTTGACCTCACAAAGATTGTCTAGGAAACTCATGATTGTATAAAGAAAAGATGTTTCTCATTAACAGAGACTGAAATGCTACCATACAATACATTGCTCATTGCTTTTTTTTTTTTTTTTTTGAGATGGAGTCTCACTCTTTTGCTCAGGCTGGAGTACAATGGGGCCATCTTGGCTAACAGCAACTTCCACCTCCCAGGTTCAAGCAATTCTCCTGCCTCAGCTTCCCAAGTAGCTGGGATTACAGGCACCCACCACCACACCCAGCTAATTTTCATACTTTCAGTAGAGACAAGGTTTTTTCATGTTGGCCAGGCTGGTCTCAAACTCCTGACCTCAGGTGATCCACCCACCTTGGCCTTCCAAAGTGCTGGGATTACAGGTGTGAGTCACCATGCTCAGCCAAAATTTTTAAATATTGTAAAATATTCTTTATCAAATTGCATAAAAGAAAAGACAGTTTGATAGGTAATACATAAATAGATCAAGGCAACTAGAAGTGTCTTAAAACAATTAATATTGTGAAAACAAAAGGATCTTAATGACATTGACAAAAATCTCACCCTAAAAGAGATTAAATTAAAAAGCACCCTACTCCAACCAGTCCAGTGAGATTTCATTCATTAGCATGCTCTCATTACTGGCATAATCAGCTTCAAAGTCACTAAGCCTCTGAAAGGAAAAGGTGTTGCTTACTCTTAATAAAATGGCGTAAAACTGGGTCATTAGTCACCACATATGATAGACTTACCTTTTCCATTTGTTGGCATCTCACATTGGCGATGGCAATTAAAATGGAATCCAGGGAAAGAGGGGGCAGTTTGTATAGCAGTGGATTATGAAATAAAGTACTGGATTATTCACAACTTGACATTCAGGAAACATTCTGCTCCTCACAGAATTTGGCACGTGGGCCACAGCATCTTCCTGCGTGCTACCTTCTTGGGGAAGAACACCCCCACATTTCTTTTCCTAGGAGCTAACCACAGTAAACCCATTACACACTTCAGCAGAAGGGCTCATTCTGAAGGTCTTTGGATTTTAATCACTTTAAGTTTCCTATTATGCCTCAGGCTCCTCAACACAAAGTGAATTCTGCACGCTTTGGCTTTACATAATTATCTTCAATTGTCATACTGCAACAGGACATTATTTGTGACTTTAGATGGGTCGATAATGTTTTTTCATTGTTAGCAGGAAAGCCAATAATTACAGACACATCATCTAACCTACTAGTGTAAAGACATTTTGGTACTAGGAAATTTAGTGTCTGATCAATGGTCTTGGATAGCAAGTAATAGATCCCCCAAATAATGAAAAGTAACAAGAAAATAAATGTTTAATTTAGAAATAAATGGAAAATTAGTGCCATCTAAAATGTAGTCTTAAGTCTCATCTGTGTACATAAAGTAAAATGAGTTTTATATACCAGTTACTCAAATTTATCTTACACTCCATTTGTACAGTAATTAAACTCTTATACTCAGTAATACAAAAAAATGGTAATTAGCCTCTTTGCAAATGTTAAGGTGCTCCTAAATGTGCAGTAAGTCACCTTCCCTGTCTCATTGTTTTTCCCTTCACATACCTCTCATGTAGTTATTTCAATGATGTTGAGTTCAGTGAGAGGAAGTTTTAGAAAAGCTGCTCACCAATAATGTGCCTCAGTTCCCATAACAGCAAGATGGAGAAGGTTCTTTCGTCTCCAGAATGTCACGTTGAATATCTCAGTTCTATATTTTGCCTTGACATTTGCATTATATCAGCTGATTATTGTCTTGCCCTAATTTTCCATTTTACTATTTCAGTGACCTTCTATGTTAGGTACAGGTTACTTGAAGTGTTCCGCCAAGGCCAGGTACTTTTTCCTTGACCAATTTATTTTTAACAACTGTTAGCAAATATCTCACTTCACCACCCTCCCTATCAGTCCACGCAATCACAATCCCTTTCTGCTAATCTGCACAGTCAAGATATAAAGTAAGAATGCCTATTTGAACATGTAGTGAGAACTTTACTTCTCTGCCAAAAATGAAGAAAAATGCTTCCACTTTTGTATAGCATATGCGTTTATTCTACAGCCTCACTCATTTCTCATCGTGTTTTAGTGCAGTTTTCTGAACAAACTGCTTATTTTTTCACTGATTAAACTGCTTATTTGTTCATTGGAATTAGAACCAATTTTCTTCCTTGAGGATATGACTAGAAGATTAAACGCTGTTCATGTGAGAATCAATTTCTACCTAGGAATTGAGTTAGAGGAGTTATAGGCAGCAGTATCTATCTGGATTCTACACTGTGAAAAAGGAAGAGAGGTTATGCCTTTCTGCGCCAATGAAGTAGCAGAGACTTTAGGAACTGAGGTAGATGCCCCCATGGTTATTAGCACCACAGAATAATTTGCTCAAAAACTGAGTGCTGGCCAAGTGCCGTGGCACATGCCTGTAGTCCCTGCTACCAGGGATGCTGAGGCAAGACAATCTAAGCCCAGGAATTTGAGGCTGTAGTAAACTAAGATCAATCCACTGTACTCCAGCCTGGGTAACAAAGCAAGACCCTGTCTCTAAATTCATTTTAAAATTGAGTGCTTATGAACAGAGACTAATATAGGAAGCCATAAGTATTTCCGTGGGGTAGAATGCTTCCCACCATAATTGACTTCACATCCTGTATTTGTATGCATGGACTTCAGCTTTAAATATTTGAAACACAGACAATTATTAGGTCCTGCAAATGTGTGAGTTGAGATAATAGTGGATGTAACATTCCCTTCCAGGGAGTAAAAAAAAGCACCACAGCAGCGAGCAGCCCTAAAGCACAGCCTGGACCAGTTTGGCAGGTCTCTGTGATTTAGCAGCGACTCACATGACCACACTCTATACTGCCTTCTGTTTCTGTTTCACCCCATTAACTGTGCTAAAGAAATGCACTTGACACCTATGCTGTGTAATCTCATCTAGCCCCCATAGCTACAAAAGTACTAACCCCATTATATTGAAGCATTTCAAACTGAGCCAAACGTTGCACTCCAGTAAATGCAGTAGGCATTGGTTTTAATGGGAATTCTCCATTATTCATAATAGGAACAGTAGGAGTTTGTTCATGCAGATCAAATGTGTCCCACCAAGGCAAGAAATTTGGAAAAGTGTGTGCTGCTGTATTACCTTGTAATTTCAAAGCCTTCCCGTCTGAATCCTATTTCACTGCTGTTTCCTCCTGATTCTGGTTCTTTCACAAAGACAAATTAAGAATGCAAATATAAACATTAAGTTAAAGCACGACTGAACAAAGTGTCAAAGTTAATTGGAGCATTTGAAAATGAAACATTTGGCAGTTAACAGTGGCCTCTTGACAATACTGCACAGTAACTCTGTAGCAGACCCTGTGTGAAGAGCAGCCGGCACACAGCCCCCAGCCGTGAAGTCCATCTCAAGGCGCCAGACTCAGCAAAGCAGGATGCAAACCCAGGTTTTCCGAATACCAGGCGGGTGCTCGTGTCACTGTGCCACAGAAATTTCTGTATAAAGGCTACTTGAAAAAAGTGGCCATTAAAAATTCTAGATAGGTTGATCCTATCTGGGGCAGTGTTGGAAACACTGATCTATGGGGGGAGGAGCAGGAAGGAACTGTGTTTTGTTTTGTTTTGTTTTGTTTTAGATGGAGTCTCGCTCTTGTTACCCAGGCTGGAGTGCAATGGCGCGATCTCGGCTCACAGCAACCTCAGCCTCCTGGGTTCAGGCAATTCTCCTGCCTCAGCCTCCTGAGTAGCTGGGATTACAGGCGCGCGCCACCATGCCCAGCTAATTTTTGTATTTTTAGTAGAGACGGGGTTTCACCATGTTGACCAGGATGGTCTCGATCTCTTGACCTCGTGATCCACCCGCCTCAGCCTCCCAAAGTGCTGGGATTACAGGCATGAGCCACCGCGCCCGGCCAGGAAGGAACTGTTAAACCAATGAGCAGCAATGTTACATTGCTACCTGCCTTTAGCAGCTGTGGCTGATGAGCGCGAGTTGCTCAGAAGAGCATTATCTAACTGTGTGTTAAGATAGAAAACTGATTTTAAAGCACTGCATTTAGAGGATGTTGAAGTTTTATCTTGCTTTATTTTGATTTGTTTGGCTTGGCTTTGTTTCCTGGAGCATGCCCCACAGATTTCTGTTCATTACCAGAGAATCCTAGGGCTCCAATCCAATTCCTAATTCTTGGACACATTGCACCCTTGTTTTGTGATAACCCAGCCTTCTTCCTCTAGATGGCTTTCTGCACTGGAGGTTACATGTATGAAATTTTCCAAAACGAAGATGCAAAGCTGTCGCCTCTTATTTCCTTATGGTGCCCACTTCACTGTGAGATTTCTTATCCATACAGCCTGAGTCAGTGGACATGTGTGAGGTGGGGATGAGGAAGTTAGAAGGACTTGGACTCTCAACAACCCTCAGAATCCCCAAATCCACTAACTGTCCATAATCAAAGAAGTATGAACAAATACTTCACACACATGAAATTGCCAAAATGTTATATTTGAGTTATACCAGTAAGTCCAGTTGCCATCATCTCCTTGTCACAAGTGTCTTAAGTTTTGCTTTTGATAATAATGACTACCATTCATTCAGTACTGACTTACTTAATATTAGACCCTGCATTAAATACCTTGCAAACAGTATTTCATTTGATCCTGAAAATCACATGAGATAGGTACTATTCTTATCCACACACAAAAAAATTAATTTCATGAAGACTTTTCTCGGAGAGAGAGAAATATTTACACACACATCTCTCTCCCTGTAACAATTCAGCAGTTCTGATAACAGTAAATGAACAGAATCTATGTAGGATGCTTTAACAACAGTCCCACCTAGAGGCAGGAGAGTGAATCAGCTAGAAAATATTTTATTCATATTTCTTCCAGAAAGGCTTCATTGGAGTTTGAACTCAGTTTATGTTATAATTTTCTTATTACTTTTGTGTTAGTTTTCCTGAAACTAATACAAAGTAAGAATGTGTTTGGTCCACTAAAAATGCCCTGAAATCGGCCAGGCACAGTGGCTGACACCTATAATCCTAGCACTTTGGGAGGCTGAGGCAGGTGTATCACTTGAGCCAGAAGTTCAACATGGTGAAACCTTGTCTTTACTAAAAATACAAAAATTATCAGGGCGTGGTGACACACACCTACCTGTAATCCCAGCTATTTGGGAGGCTGAGACATGAGAATCGCTTGAACCTAGGAGACAGAGGTTGCAATAAGCAGAGATCACGCCACTGCACTCCTGCCTGGGTGGCAGAACGAGACTCTGTCTAAAAAAAATAAACAAATAGATAACAAAATGTTCTGAAACCATTATAGGGTTAAAGCAAGAAGCAAGGCTGGTTCCCAGGATTTTCTGCTTAACCTCCAGTGAGCCACAGACCTGCTTCTGATCAACTTCAAAATAAAAACACCAATAAAGATGTGTAAGGCAGTCTGACCTTACCATTTCTGTAGAATTTTACTTGAAGATAAGTTTCCCCTTTCTCTAGCCCCCATATTGTTCATACATCAAGACCCTTCAGTAAATGCCCACAACCACCAGCATCAACTGTTTTCCCACTAATGCTTTCAATGGTAATCAGTATTTAACAGGGCACTTAGAATATTTTTTAATCAATCATTGTTTAGATGTCCCATTTATAATTACTTTTGTGAAGGAATGCGTCAGGGCATCAGCTGATCCTAAGGAATTATCCAGGAGCCATGAGTGTGTAATAATTTAGTCTCAAACCTGGATGGGTCAGTAATGGGTAGGATTTTTCTTAGCTGCATAATGAGAATAAAATGAATGTGGAAATAAATTATATAACACATCCTGGGTCACAAACAGAGGTAAGACTTGAACACAGGCCTGACATCAAAGCCCATGGCAGTATGACTTACAAAAGGTAGACTGGACTACCTGCATTTGAATCACTGGTGATGCTTATCAATGGACCTCACCAAAGAACCTTGAAATTAGAATCCCTAGAGGTACATACCAGGCACCTGCATTGTTGTCAAGTGCTGCAATGATTATCCACTGTTCAGAGCCATACAAGCTCCTGATGCTGGAAGAAAATTACAGTGTTCAAAGTGCAGGACAGGGTGTACATCTGGCTCTAATCACTGAGCAACCACAGGGTTTCAAGAGAGGGTCAAGAAAAGGACTTTCTGCTCTCTGTGGCCAAGTAGACACTACATTTGCACTGTTCTCAAATCTTCAAAGAGACTTTGGTGTATGGAGGATGGGATGGTGGGGAAGGACGTGTGAAAGAAAAGGAGAAAGTGAATTCGATGATTTGATTGATAAAAGCTGAAAAGCTCATTGTAGGGCCCAGCCTACAGTTGATTAAAAAAAATAGATCAAGAAGACGATCAGAACTTGCCTCAATCCTCAACCATTGTTCTTAGGCTTCAACGGAATATTGCCATCCAGTAATTCATTATAGCATTTTCTGTTGCATAGATGTTTAGCAGAAACTTCTTTTAAAAAAATTTTTTTTACCTCCTCAATGAGAATTAAATGCTTCTTCTTCTAAGAAAGTCTGAAATATATTCACAGCTGAAAATTCAGCTAACTGCATTTCCCAACTAGCCACATTCTATAGAAAACTCTAAGCCATGCGGATGAATACAGACTTGACAATAGTGCTCAAGGCTGGAAGTACTATTCATCTGAAAAGGACGCTCCCTCCAATTTGTGGGCCATTATTCTGCTAGGTTTGTGTTTGTATAATTGTAAGATGGCTATATTTTTCTTCCCCAGTCTCAGGAGGCCCAGGTGCTGAAACAATTGGCAGAGAAGAGGGAACACGAGCGAGAAGTCCTTCAGAAGGCTTTGGAGGAGAACAACAACTTCAGCAAGATGGCGGAGGAAAAGCTGATCCTGAAAATGGAACAAATTAAGGAAAACCGTGAGGCTAATCTAGCTGCTATTATTGAACGCCTGCAGGAAAAGGTAATGTCAGCAGAGTCCTGAGCAGATGGATGTATTCATATGCAACACAGCTGGGTGAACTCTCAGATGCCTAAGCACCAGAGACTAAGTCAAAATTTGCTGCAGGTGTGAGGACAACTAACTCACATGGGCAGGGTCTCACAGTGTAGCATTGACTTAGCAGGAGGTGCAACATGGTATAGGAATGGGAATCTAACACTAAAGCTGGAATTTTGTCAAGTTTTCCTATGGTGAGTGGATTCAGGGAGGCCGATTCATGCTTCTGAAATGTGTAACTTCTATACAAACCTCAAGAGGCAATCTACTGGAAAAATGTTACATTGGAAATATTAGTATTAATATATTATATTGCTATAAAATATAAATAACATTTGGCTTAATATTTAATATGTGGCATTCAATATATATTTAATTAAAATATTAAATTAGGAAAATATATTTGCCAGGATATTTATGAACACTGGAAAACCCATTCTTTCCATGTAGAAACTCTACGTGGAAAACTAGGGTGTAATAACATCACATAGGACCATAGCAAAGATTAGCTCATAGAGGATGTTTTGTCCAGTTCTGGTATCCTGATGCCCTTCTCCTCAACAATCTAAACATACACTCATTCCCATGAGTCAGGAGGCGCTGTGCTGGAGGTCCTCTGAAAAACGCTGTCTTTCACTTTTGCACTTTCTATGCTGTCTCCCACCCATCCCCTCAAAAACCTTTCCCTTGAAAATATACAGCTTAGCAGTGAGTAGTTTAGCTGTATCCATTTCCAGAAACTGGATTAAGCATTGAAAATAGCATGTTTGAGGAAGATGCCTCAATCCTTTTCTGAGCAGTCACCCTTCTCACCAGTAGTGAGTGCCTTTGTGTGACAGACATTGGAGATGCAAGAGTAAAACGGACTGTGCCTGTCATCAGAGCCCAGAGAGTTTAGTCAGATGAGCCTCCTGTTTTCTGACATTTCTCAGAGTGTCATGTCTTCTATTAGAGATGGCCCATCTCATCTAAGGTTCAGACAACCTTATCTTGAAGTTCTGATGATTCTGTTTTCATTCTTAAACTCCGACTGCAACTATCCAGCTAGAAACAAACAAAAAAAAATCAGGCATGAAATCTTTTAAAGGTATAATTGCATGGAGATTTTCATTTGTGCTCTTGAGGAATTTTTTAAAGCACTGCTGGGGAAGGGTGTGTGGACTCTGATGCAGCAGTAAGACATTGAGGCTCTCAGAGGTACGTGGATGAGTACTGCTGACCTGGGCAAGAGCTGGAATAGCCACCTGATGCCTAATCCAAAACATGAAAGTTCAGATTAAATTTGTATTTATTAGATGGTGTTTTCATACCTCAGAACAATTTCATTGCATTTCACCCAAATGAGTCAAGTCAGAATTTGGAAGAGACAACAGAATTTGCAGGTGATTTATGGCAGTGTAGGAACACATGTATTACTCAGAACAAAGTTCCATTTGCTAAAGTTTACTCCCCTGACATTGAACCAGTTGGTCTTCCTCCATCTGTCCCCATTTTGCACTTCTCTAGAGAACTAAAAACGTTCCTGCTTGACCAGTGCTCATAACATGGACAGCACAGGGACACCGTGTGTTCTCTTTGAGATCACTGTGACTCAACCTGCATCTTACATCCTATACCCTAAAAAATTAAGTGAAGTTGCTAACAACGGTACATGCTGATCTTATTGCAACATCCTCAATTAGGCCTTTATCATCCAATGCAAGATTTATATCATTGGTAGTCTCAGAGCATTTTTATTTTTCAAATTACACATACAAACACAGGGCATATCGTCCTTTTTTGTTGTTGTTGAGACAGAGTCTCACTCTGTTGCTCAGGCTGGAGTGCTGTGGTGCAATATCAGTTCACTGCAGCCTCTGCCTCCTAGGTTCAAGTGATTCTCGTGCCTCAGTCTCCCGAGTAGCTGAGATTACAGGCATACACCAACACGCCCAGCTAATTTTTGTATTTTTAGTAGAGACAGTGTTTTGCCTTGTTGGCCAAGCTGGTCTTGAACTCCTGACCTCAAGTGATCCACGCACCTCGGCCTCCCAAAGTGTTGGGATTACAGGTGTGAGTCACCATGCCCGGCAGGGCTTATCCTTCTTGATTTCAATTTAAAATCATTCATAAAATTTGCATATTTTATCTAGTATTTCCAGAAGTGCTAGCTTTTAATAGGCCTTTTTTCCTCTGTGTTTTTTTCTCTTCACCCAGCCCAGCCATCCTCAGCTCCTTTTTGCACTCTTTCCACTCCCACCCAACTTTAGTGACTTCCCCCATACATACATACATGCATACCTGCAAACCACTTTTCCTGGAAATAATCAACCTAAAGAGTGCTTAAAATTCCTGGCATCGGCCCACAGAATCTCCAAGGATGGGACCCAGCATCCGTATATTTTGAAAAGTCTCTGTATGGGTCCAATATGCAGCCAGATTTGAGAGCTAGTGGTTTGCTGCCTGTTCTGATTTAAATCTCAGCTGTCAGCATTCTATCCCATGTCAAATAATACAGCCCAGATAATTTCTAGGACCACATTTTTTTTCTGGTGTTTCATAGCTAACGAGGTGCTTTTCAAATCTAATGGGATCTTTGGCAGTGTCAGTCAAGATCTTTTATCTCCTCAATAAAGAGGAAATACCAAATTTACTTTGATTTGATGTATATCACATAGATTGAGTGCAAAATTGTTTACATATTGTGCATGTGTTTGTATATACTAAAACTACTTTGCTTTTTCCTAAAATAAGACAAAATTTTATATTGTAATCAATATTTAGCCTTTTGTTTGAATAAAGTTACTCCTATAAAATTAGAAATTTAAAAGATGTTCAGTAATAAAAGTAAAGGTGAAAGGCTTGAAACTGCCAAGGTAACATAAGCTGTCCTGAAATCTACATATAAAAAGATGATTATGCTGGGCATGGTGGCTCACACCTGTAATCCCAGCACTTTGGGAAGCCAAGGCAAGAGAATTGCTTGAAGCCAGGAGTTCGAGACCAGCCTGGGAAATATAACGAGAACTTGTCTCAAACAAAAATTTAAAAACTAGCCAGGACTGGTGGCACAGGCCTGTTGCCCTAGCTACTCAGGAGGCTGAGGTGGAAGGACTGCTTGGGCCAAGGAGTTCGAGGCTGCAGTGAGCTAATATCATGCCACTGCACTCCAACCTGGGAAACAAAGTGAGGAAACAAAACAAAAAGAGGAAAAAAAGATGACAACTTCCGAAATGACACCTTTTAATGAGTCAATCATTCAATGAATATCTATTGAGTCCCTACTATATGCTTAGGAACCTAGAAGAGGATGTAATATGAAAGATATTTACCAACCATGTCATTCCCAATACAGGCAATACAAAATTCAGCAATAAATAATATAGCTCCAACAATTAGAGAGTGAGACAACATGTAGTATGGTCCAATATAGACAGTAAATACAAAGACACTGAATAATATCAGTAAAAGTAAATTCACTACACCATGCACCCACCCTTTTGACAGCCCTCGCTGCCCCTATCAACTATGCAAGTGACATGATACAACTCTGTGCAAGCTTTTCCACTATCTGCCTACCATTCAGCCCTCAGTCCCTCTTCCCTTCAATTAAGAGAATTGAGCATTCGAGCATATTTTCACCATGATGCCCATACGGTATCTTCATTGTCACTGACTGATAAATTCCCAGAAACCCCTCAGAGCCCCAGCCATATTATCTCAAAGCCTTTAACTCAAACTGAAAGCCTAAAGCAAAAGCAGCCCTGGCTGCATTTCAGAATCTACTGGACAGCTCTTTAAGGGATTCTGATTTAATTGTCTGGAATAGGGCCAAGAACCTTGGATTATTTTAAAGGCTCACTAATAGGCTCTAATATTTAGCCATTGCTGAGAACCACTACGCTAAAGGTTTCTTAAGTATACTTTGTTATGTCATTATAAATTATATTTTAGTGTTTTTTGTCTTTGTTGCATAAGTGTTCTTTCTTCCTCCAAAAAAGAACGTTACACTTACTTTTTATTTCAGTTTCCTGTTTTCATATCACCTCATCTTAACACTCCAGGCTATTATATAGAAAAGAATCAAATGTGGAAAAGGATGTGGGAGAAGGGATGCCTATGCCACAAAGACCTGCATTAGGCTGATCTATTTATGTCATACCCAGGACTCAAACAAGGAGTCTGTGGATTATGACTGACACAATAGTGAAGTTCAAAATGTTCTTATTCTTGGAGTGGTATGAGAAGTAGAAAGAGAGAGAAACAAAGAAAGGAAGAGAGAGGAAGAAAGGAAGAGCACAGCCGGGCGCGGTGGCTCATGCCTATAATCCCAGCACTTTGGGAGGCCGAGGCGGGTGGATCATGACAAGAGATCGAGACCATCCTGGTCAACAAAGTGAAACCCCATCTCTACTAAAAATACAAAAATTAGCTGGGCATGGTGGTGCACGCCTGTAGTCCCAGCTGCTCGGGAGGCTGAGGCAGGAGAATTGCTTCAACCCAGGAGGCAGAGGTTGCAGTGAGCCAAGATCCTGCCATTGCACTCCAGCCTGGGTAACAAGAGCAAAACTCCATCTCAAAAAAAAAAAAAAAAAAAGAAAAATCAGTTAAAGCAGATATAATCATTTTAACAACAATGCATCTATTCACTGAACATATAATTTTAACATCAAATATGTAAATGTAAACCAATTTTTGATGTCGTTGGGCTGAATACCTTTTCAAAAAATTGATAGGTTAATAGTTCTATGGGAACTTCTTTTCTTGTCATTATTCACACCTATTCACATTAGCTATG